ATCGTCAAAATGCACCGAAATCCTTTTTTGAGAAAAAAAATACCTTGATTGATGTATGAAGTAGGTCTTTAACTACCAAAAACAACTTTGTTTGTTTCGATCGGTTGTGGTTTGTCATGAAAATTGCGAATTTTCTGAAGCCCCTTTTATTGCCAACTTTCGTTGGCCTCGCGTTGCTGTAAGTTGTGTGGACGAGAAAATAGAGCAGCTACGCGTGACACGGCAACTGACTGTGGTAATATTTCTCATACTAGATACCTTTTTTCAGGTACTTTAAAAGACAATTTTAGTCTTTGTACAATGATTTCATCATTATTATAGTTCTAGGTAAATTTCAAAATCTCTGTGTTTCCCAAATTTGCCAAATGCCGTTTAATAATCTGCATAAATGCCGTATATTATTTTGCATAAATTACAAGTAAAAATTATGGCTGCCATGTGTGGACATATCACAATTGAATTTTTCCTGATAATCCAACTTCAGTTATGTACACATGTGTAAATATCACTTTTTTTATAAGGTCCCCCAAAAAGTCCAAAAAAAATCCAAGTGGTAGAAATATGCGTAATTTGCATAAATTCAAAATGGCCACTATTTATATGATTTTCATGTTGATTTGGCCATAACTCTCGTCCTACATTGCTTTTTGGGGTACTTTAAACAACAATTAGTCCTTTTACATTGATTTCATCATTATTCTAGTCCTGGGTACCTTTCGAGATCCTTTTGTTGCCCAAATCCGCCAAAAGCCGTATACTAATTTGCATAAATGCCGTATATCAATTTGCATAAATTCAAATAAAATAAAGTAAAGTTAAAATTATGGCACAATTGGGACCCGTGTTGGGACTTAGATAATGAAAAATGGGTTGCGGGGAAACAATTCCTCAGGTTTTGCACTTTAATTGAGTCTGATCTGTATATTGGAGATAAGGCGAAAGATACTTATTGAGTAATCTTCATCCAAGACCAGAATGACAAAGTTAAATACTATTTCCACACAATTAAAAAAGGAACAAGAAGCAAGTCAATTAAATAAAACACAATTATAGTTAAAGTCGAAATTATTCAAGTGGTTCTCGCTAAATCACTTATTATTATCAGTTTCGAATATGCAACTCAAAAATACAAAATACAAAAATGAAGTGAAACTGTAGATAAAATTATATTATCATCATGTATGATTACAAGTAAACTGTGAAGGGAGAAAACAATTGTATTTTCCTTAATAATCCAAGTTCAGTTATAAATACAGAAATATCACATATATCCAGATTGGCCGCCTATCATCCATATTGGCTTGCATGCAATGTTTGATTGTTATTATCTACACGTACATCATTGTTTCTTAGAATGAACAAATATGTGGCAGACTAATCTTCAGCAGCTAAAGCATCAATGTCTGGTGGTGGCGAGTTGGCACAACTAGTGCCACGGCATCAGTGGCGTAGCCCCCCCATGAAACCTTGTCGCCCCCCAGTGCCCACCCCCCACACTGAGATTTTGAGTTTCTAAAAAAAATTATCATTGATCTACATGACGCCCCCCATGAAATGTTCCAGCCTCCCCCCAGCGCCCCCCCCCCCCACTGAAAAAAATTCCTGGCTACGCCACTGTCCCCGGTTGACCATGCACACCATGGCTCGAACTGTAGTGTGATCCGGTACACTCGCTGGCCCCGTCCAGCTGTTGCTTCCCCGTCACTGTAGCGGTCCGCTCCCGCTTCAGTCCGGCCGTCTCTGCGAAGCGATAGCTCGTACCGTGCCCACTCGGTTCAGCTAGAATCTTTGGCTTACTTGGTCCCCCAGTGAGTGTTGTGAGACTCCGACACCGGTGTTGAAACCAAGGAAAAGCCTGACGTTGGAGGAATCCCCACAAAGTTAAATAAACCAGTAAAGTCACTGTGTGAAAGCTCTGTTTCCCGCCAAATTCTTTATCATAGATAATAATGTTGATTCTAATATAACGTTAATGAACTAATAGGGAATGCAACAATAATTTCAGGAATGAATTGCAGGGCACTGGGCAGCTCCGTCGCACAGCCTTTAACGTGTCACCACTTGAAACTTAGAACTGATAGACACATGGATTACAAGATACGAGAACTGTTTGATTGCCTCATTGATGTTCTCCGAAGTTACCGTGTTAAAATTAGAAAAAGTTTTAACTATGGAAGGTTGTGAATCTTTTCTTTCAAAACTGAGGGAGGAATTATTGCAGTCATATTTATTTTATCGTCAATGTAAAATTGTGTCTTATTTCATTTTGTTCCCGGGTATTTTCTTGTTGTTTCTTTAGTTTGTGTATTTAATGTGAGTGTAGACCTATGTATGTCAACTAGGTTTGTTTTTATGGTTTGCATTTTTCTCTCTGGGGAATGGGACTGCTTTTGTTTCTCGGTTTTGTTTTGTTTTGTTTGTAATAATCTTTTTAGCCCGTTTGTTATTCATTCCCGTTATTGAGTCTGGTTGTTTGTTTTTTTTGTTTGTTGGGTTGTTGGGTTGTAAGAGTATTTATTTATTAGTTCGTTTTTATATTTTTGTATCTGTCTGGTTTGTCTAATGTTTCACTCTATGATTTTTTTGCTGAGTCTTGTCTCATCTCCCCGTCTTGTCTCGTCTCGTCATGTCTCGTCATGTCTCGTCTCGTGTGGTTTCGTATGATTTGTACAATTTAGTTTTCAATGGTACTATAATTTTTATGAATGGAATTTTAAATCTGTTTTATTGGCAGGGGTTTGGATAATCGTCTGACAATTGTTTATTTTACTTTTACATATCCGTGGCAGCCTGTCCAACTTTTAGCTTTTGTTTTATGTTTTAAGATTTAAAATAAAATAATTGAACCAAATAAATCAAATAAAGTTTCTTCAAGTCTTTATTACGCTGGAGATTTCCCGATCGCAGTACATATGAGAGGCAGCCCAAATAGGCGCGACCTAATCCGGCCAAATTACGATTTGTATACTAGTTTATCTGTAATAATAAAGAATTTTGGCCCCTGCATTTGAGGGGCTGTATTTGTAGAAGTGGAGGGTCCATGTCCCTGAATTTGGATTTCTGAACAAAACCTTTGAATGGAATATATATTGATATGGAGTGGAAGGAATCTTTTTTTTTTTTTCAAAATGGCGATGGGGTGATCATCGTTGGAGGGAAAAATCACCCAAAAGTCATAGGTCAACCCCCCCAAAAGAAAAAAAGATTTCCAAAAAAGGTAAAGAGGATAAATTTAGCTTTCATTTGATGTATGTTTTAATCACCTGTGAGGGTTCAGAGTATGTTTCCCGATTTGTTTAAATTGGGGTATTCATCTTTGGTGCCTATGGGAATTTATGTAATGGTGTTCATCCTTAAACGGAGTGCTGTAAATTCAGGGATCGCATCAACAACTGCTTTTGAATCACATATTAATTTTTGTGTACCATACTTTCCCACACATAAATTATGTTGAAAATAACATCTTCATGGATTCCCAGCACAACTCCTCAAAATAAGCCCAGTGTTTACAATATTTCTCGTTGTGGGTCTGAAAATGAAAATTGTCGGTTTGTGTATTATGAATATGATCAAGTGAAATTATTTATTCAGTATTTCCCCTTTTCCCTCAAAATTGCGTATTGTAATATTGTACATTTTTATCAATTTGCTAGAATATGTAATACCTAACCAACAAGTATTTTTTAACGAAATTCAATCAGAATATTTATCAATATTTAAATTTTTTTTAGTTGTTTTGTTACTTGTTGGTGTCCCTGCCACACTGTACCATGGTGTAGCCGTGCGTTATGCACGTGGATTGTTTACTTTCGTTTTGAAGGGGACTTTACTGAATAGAGTCTGGTGACTGTACATAAAAATTTCTTTGAATAAAAGTCGAATCGTTCATTCATGTGCACTTGTTATGCAAAGCAGTGGCAGTGGTTCAAGGATATCTATGTCGACTTGCAGAAAGTGTGCAAGAACGCGACGAATGCTTTTATGTGTTCACAATACAACGACGCTGTTTAGTTATTTCACTGTGTGACACAGTGAGACATTTTGGAATCATAATGGCGTCAGCGAAACTTGCTAGGGAGCTCTTGCGTACGACTTTCTGTACTTTGGTACAGTTGTCTCCAGGACAATTGTGTGTACGGTAACCCGACGTACCCAGATTTTTAAAGACGATATTGCCGACCTCAAACTTGTTAGTGCCATATTTGGAAACTATGTGTGCGTTATTAGTTTAATTAAACAAATGAACAGGTTAAATAAACATAGTACCATTGAAGGTACCTAAAAACAGCATAGAGGACCGACAGACGAAAATAAAATGTTACAAAATAAACATATTTGTCTGGATAATTTTTTAGGGCGTTACCGGCAAGTTAACACAAACTTGGTGTCAAATAGATCATGAGAGTTACTTTTGTTTGACTTTTCATACAAGTTTACATAAACTTTAAGTGTATGACCTGCAGTGGCGTAGCCACGGGGGGGGGGGGGGGGGTGGGGGGTGGGGGGGGGGGGGCGACAGCCTTGTCGCCCCCCCCCCCCCAGTCGCCCCCCCCCACTGAGATTTTGAGTTTCTAAAAAAATATCATTGATCTTCACATGACGCACCCCCCCCCATGAAATGTTCCAGTTTAAGGACGAGTTTTAAAGCTAAACTCACGGTGACGAGCCGCTTGACCCACTCAAACACAGCTGGTTTGAATGACGGGACGACATTTTGACGTGTGTAAAATCACCATCATTTCACAACCGTCAAAATGTAATCGTTTTTGCTGGACAGCATTATTTGCCTTGCAGGTAAATTTACTTCATTTAACAAGCTGTTACAACATTTTGCAATAGTCCCCATGACTATTATTTTGTCATTTTAAAAAGTGCCTTGACTCCACCGAAAAAACCACTATGACTCTTTGAGAGAATCACTTAGCCCCATAGGAGATTCACCTTAATCCAATCGAAGAGTCACCCTAGCCCCATAGGAGAGTCACATTAAACTTGCAACAATGACTCATATGAGAGTCGTTGTGACTCTGGAATTTAGCGAAGCAAAGGAGATCTTCGAAAACTTCTTCCTTCCCGTACTGGTGGCGCACATCGCCGATGAAACAAATCGCTACGCTGCCAAGAAACCAAAGCGTCAAACGCCAAGTCCAAGTCACATGAGGGAATGGTTCGATACTACACCAGATGAGATGTCGGTGTTCCTGGCCATGATAATCATCATGGGAATAATGCCCAAGCCGGACTTGAAACTCTACTGGACGAGAAACCCCGTATTTGAGATTCCGTTCTTTCCCAACACCATGCACCGTGACCGATTCATGGCCTTGCTGTCCAATCTGCACTTCACCGACAACAGTCAGGCAGATACAAGGGATCGCCTCTACAAGGTCCGCCCGGTAATAGATACACTGACTGAGAACTTCAAATCAGTCTTCCTTCCCGACAACCGTATATCCACGGACGAGTCACTGTGGAAGTTCAAGGAGAGATTGAAGTTCAAACAATTCAACCCCATAGCGCGCCAGATTTGGCATCAAGGTATACAGAGTCTGCCAAAGCACGGGAGCTGCCGCCGGATATACCTGGAACTTGAAAATATACACGGGGCAAGACAAGAGTGATGCACCGGCAAGTACGAAAATTGTACTTGACTTGAACGCAGATCTTCTCGGCAAGGGGTACACCGTTTTCTTGACAACTGGTTCAGCAGCCCTTCTCTGTTCCGGGAACTCCACAGCCACAAGACCAACGTCGTCGGGACAGTCAGGAAAAATCGAAGGACATGCCCACGGTCTTGTGCGACTTGTAACTTCGTAAAGGCGAAGTTGCATATCGCTCTTCAGACAAAAGCCTGCTTGCTTTGGTCTGAAAAGACAAGAAAGATGTCGGCCTACGCATGTTGTCTAATGCACACGGCCGCAATGGGTGACTCTGGCAAGCGCAACCGGGACAACAAGCCCATCGAGAGGCCCAAGTGCGTCATCGCGACTACAACGCAGGCATGAAGAGCGTGGACATATCAGGCCAACTTGCCTCATCTCACCGCACGGTCAGGAAGTCCATCAAGTGGTACAAGGAACTGTTCTTCTACCTGCTAGATGTCTGCCTTGTGAACTCTCATCTTGTGCAAAAAGCATTGGGTAGGGCTGACAAATACTTGAATTTCAGGTGGACACTAGTGAATGAAATATTAGGGGCCCAGTAGTAGGGAAGGTGGGGGTATGGGACCAAAACGGAAAAAATCTGCGGCGAGCCTGGGCACGCCGCTCTCGATTTTAAAAAATTAGGGGAATCCCCCGATCTCCAAAAAAAAAAAAAAAAAATCTGACGTTGGGAGAGAGAGAGAGAAAAAAAAAATAAAAAATCCTGACGTTGGGAGAGAGAGAGAAAAAAAATAAAAAAATAAAAATAAAAAATATCTGACGCCGGGAGAGAGAGAAAAAAAAAATAAAAAATCTGTCGTCGCTAAAATGAGGTGATGTCACCACCACGTGACCTTGAAACTCGAGACAAAAAGAATTAGCTCTTCTACCTGTGAAAAGGTAGAGGAGCTGTTTTTTATATAAAAATGGAGAGTAATATGTTTAGACCGACGAGTATTTGAAAAATTAATAAAAAATAATATCGGTTTTTATTAAATATATCAATGAGTGAAAACCTCGAGCTATCTAATAAAACAGATCAGTGCGATCATCATATAATCATCGAGAATGGTTTTTTAGTTTGTGAAACGTGCGGTGAAATAGTCTCACGTTACTTTGATTTTTCGGCAGAAAATGCGCAAGAAGATCGTATCAATTGGTCAATTTTAAAAAGAAACAAAAGAAAAACTGTGGAGAAACTTATTTTGTCTGTGTGTCCAGAGCAAGGCTCAGAAGATGTTCAAGAAACAATCAATAAATATAACGAGCTCGTTAATTACAAAACATTGAGGGGAAACGGATGCGTCAAACGCTCGTTAATAGCCGCGAGTTATCATCACGTCGTTGGATTAGACAAAGAACGAGTTAGAGATTTATTTAAAGTGACTCAAAATCAATTTAATAAAGCACTAAAAAGATACGATGACCACTATAATAAAGGCGGGGCCGAGGGTAACACCCTAAAAGGTGAAATAGAGGTATAACTCGGCGGATCGCTTTCATAATGTTTATTTACCGAGAATTTGAACTTGTAAGTTTTTCGATAAGAGATTTTTTTTCTCTTGCAAACCGTTCGTCTACCCGTTTTTTAACTTCTTTTTCAAAGTCTGTATCATTTTTTATTTTTTGAAGCTTTGTGCTGGTCTTTGTTCTAATTTTCTGCTTAAGCTCGTTAAATTTTGCGAGCTCTCTCTTGGCGGATAATCGCCTAGACGCGATTCTAAGCAGAATATCTACACCAAAAGCGCCTATAAACGTTCCTTCTAGCACCAATCCAACGGGGGTTGATATAACACCCAAGAGAGCGGGAATACCGACAGCCCCCGCTATAGCCCCCAATCCTTCTAATCCTATCTCTACGTAATTAATAGTGTCGATCACTCTCTTTATTTTTTTATAAGTGTGCTCTCGGTGGTCTCTCTCTTTTAAGATTAAAGATCGAATCTCTTCAATCTTTTTAAGTCTGTACACTTTTGTTTCTTCGTTACTATGCAATCGGAGTACATCTCCAGAAATATCGGGGTATAACGCCTTACCATCTACACTCATGTTTTTAATATAAAAAGATTTTAAAATTAAAAGATCTCCAACTCTATCATGATACTCACACCCTTGTTGTTGATGATCTGTCCTTTTTCACCTATGATTGAAAATGTCAGTTTGTCGATTATACCGTTTTTAAGTTTCTTGAAATCCTCGACTCTATCAGGCTCGGGTTTGCGCGTACCCACGGGTACGATTTTCAAGATGTCAGACGGTCGACCATCAAAAAAGTTTTCACTCGTACTTAATTGCGGGCAGCGAATAAACAAAAATTTAAACGGATTAATGTCGTAAGACCCCGTATACACCACTTTGGGTATCAGTCTTGTCGGTCTTGGGTAAATTGAGTAATCGAGAGACTTCTCTGTTTAAACGCAATTTGAGATTGACGTCGGTTACCACCAACGTCACCTTTTTAGATTCTCTAAATATTCGAAAACTTACCCCGGGTTTATAATTTAAAATAAAATCGAACCAATCGACGTCGTACCACCCAGGTGGGATGGTGACCGAACCGGTGACTCCGGCTGGTAACGGCGCTAAAAGACTCGGAGAAATAAAATCTAAATTATCACCAGACACGACAAGACTCCCACGTATTGTTATCCCAGCATTTCTAATTATTCTTACCCTAGGTTTGCTTATTATACCGTCGATATATTCTAGCGCTATCTTTTTACCTTCTAAGATGAAGATATTTTTTTGCGTCATAAGTGCTAACAAAAAATTAATCGTATTGCGTTGTACGTCGGTTAGTGTTCTGTCGTCTCTTTTATCATTTAAAGCTGTTCCAATTTTATATGATTGATCATCTTCTTCTTTGATCGATTCTAAAGCAGAGTCTAGTCTATCTTCTTCGTACGCTTCTATAAGATCGTTTATAACTCAATTGAAAACATTTTCGTCGTTAATTAAAAAGTCGTAGTTTATCTCAGGTATAAACGATTCAAGAAAATCTCTATCTGTTCTTACTTCTACATCTGAGTTAGGCTGTATGCCTCTTCTACCATCATCAGGTCTTTCAGCGGGTCTCGCGTCTATTTGCGTATACCAATCAATCTCTGTGGCGCTGGATATATTAAAATATCCAGGGTTAAACATCACCCTTTTTACGCGTACAGATTTTTGACCGTTTAAATTATCTACGACGTCTTCTAATTTAAACGTCTGCTCATTTTGAAACAAGTGAAACGAATGCATTTATTTTAAAGTCTTTTTATATTAAAACTGAAACTAAAATAATGATTGCTTTTATGTTGTTAAAAAAGCAGATACAATCGATAGCTGATCAGGTAGCGAAACAAGTAAATCAAAATGTAGCTAAACGACAAGCTACCACCCAAACGCATGTACTAGACAGTCCGTATCTCACTGGCGAACTCGAGATTACGGTCAACGCGTCTAACACGTTTTTAACCCCGTTTCCCGACATAATCTCGGACTATAAAATATCTCGCCTCAATACCAACGATGCTGTACTTCGTTGGAAAATAAACCCCATGTCTTTTTATCAAAATCAGTTAAACTTTGCGATCTATTGCGCTACAACGGGCTGTGGTGTTGGAATCGATATTTTAAACTCGAACAACCGTTACGTTAAAGCCTTATTTAATTTTCATCTATACTTTACGGTTAGAAGGATATTAAACGACATGGCCATTGCAATACCGGGAGAAGACTCGTTTGACGCTCTCAGCAACACCTATGATCGTGGAGCATTTACCAACATCTGTCGGACGTTTGCCATCGATCAAAATAAGTCTTTTAAACAGACGAGAGATGAAAAGACTTATGGCTTAGGTCGGCTTTTTCTTTGGAACGAAAAAACAAAATCGTTTTTACTCTTGCCGTTAGACTATGATAAAAACACGACCACACTCGACGATTTTATCAACCCCACGGGTGATAAAAATTGGGGTTTAGACGATCCAAAAAAAACACGATGCTTTTTTTAAGCATTGGAAGGGTTATCTCGAACAAGACGACATCGTCAAAATGGCTTGGTTAGATTTTATACCCGCCAAGAGTTTGTTTACTCCTGCGGGAATCATAAAGATCAACGAATCGATCAGATCTTACGTGTACGCTTTACTCGGTGCGCAGGCTCAAACAAAAACGAGCGTATTATCACCGGGCACCGGATTAGACGCTCAGAGACAATTTAACGTCATCGTTGAAGATATCATCAATGCAGTAGACGACATGGAAACGAGTATCGATCAATTTCAAGACTCTTTGCAGTATGCCAGAACGCCTTTAAATTTTGTCGTGAAACCGGGGTTGTATTTAATTCCATCGGATATGAACTTGAGGGTTGGAACGCACGACGGCTATAACAACAATCTTCAAATCGCTAACCAGAGTATGAACACTGGTTTGGTGTTAGATTTAAACTCACAACCTCAGCCGGACGGCTCTTTTGATGACACCGATGACGTCGCGCCACCAACACCCCCAGAGCCTATGACTGATATTGTATCAACACCAGCACCAACACCAACACTAACACCAGCACCAGCACCAACACCTACAGTTTTAGCCCAAGAACCCACGAAACTACAAACTCACCAAGACGAAAAATTATCGTTGACGGTAGGAATATTAGCTATCGTTGGCATGGGTATTTTAGCTTACGAGGCAAAGCGATAAGTCACACTCTAATCACACAAAAAAAAAAGCCTTACCAACTTTGTGCTGGTAAGGCTTTTTTTTGGTTTAAACTTGATTATAACTAGGTACACAATACCGTCGGCGCCAGAGGCGCCTTTACTACCATCGTTTTTGCAGGTACGCAAACACCAAGGCTCCCACACCCAAAAACAAAGCCCACACGTGTTCGGCCAACCACGATACGGACTTACTCAGCGCGTTAAATATCCAACTCAATACGCTGCCTATGATACCAGGCAGAGCACCCAACGCGCTCACTCCGAGTT